GGGGGGGGGGGGATCCAGTTGTTTTTCAAGGGCTCTTGCATAGAAGGCTCCAAGTATGTCGGTTTCTCTTGGGGGCCCTTCTTTCAAAACGATCTTTGACTTGGGGTGTCGGTATTTCAGAAGACAAGTGCCCAAACTTAAGCACGGCATAGTGGGGGATCTTTCATGCGTGAGTCCTGCGAGAAAGAGAGAACCGGTAACTGCATGACGAGCGACGTTACGGATCTCCGAATACAAACTACCCATAATTCGGCCCCAAAGTAGTTCCTCTTTGGGATTGCCTTATAGGATTCTAAATATGAACCCCCAAAAAGGAACTACTATGGGGCCTATGGGTATGTAGTCTACTTGGAATTGTGTAGACCTTCGACTGACCTCCCGTACGATTTCGGTGCAATTCATACAGGAAGGAACTCTGCAAGCAAGAAGACACCCTATACCCTGGTCCGAAACCCTTATACCCCAAGCCGAAACCCTTAAACCCCACACCCACCTCCTCAGGTCCTAGAGGGGCAGCTAATTCCTAGGCCCCCGCAGCCCTATGTAATAAACACGAATAGTGAGCCTTATAGTAAGCATTATCCTAGACCCTAAACCCCTAAACCCCTAAACCCTAAACCCCTAAACCCCCAAACCCCTAAACCCTAAACCCTAAATCCCTAAATCCCTAAACCCTAAACCCCTAAACACTGAACCATCCTGCACCCTAAATGGTGGCTGTTTCTTTCTCGAGTTCAGACCTGGGGTAGTACTGGTCCTGCCAATAGCAATACGAGAGGGAAAAGAACAAAGCTTCATGATACTGTTGATGATACAAATCCCGCATTACCACAAGGACCCGAAACTATGGGAGTTATAGGTAATGCAGGCTTTAGATCATCAGCCGTAGATAATCATAGCAAGCTAAGATCCCCTTCCGGGTCAGGCGGCAGAAGATGCTCCCGCTGTCTTTGCAGGTCAGGCAGCATCTGACACCTCAGACCCAGGATCCGGTCGCAACAAGACAAGAATGTTGGGGATATGGAAGTTTGGATCCTGCTAGTTAAGGGGTACTATATTAGGGTCCCCTATTTTCGGAAGCCCCATAGAAGCCCCTTTGACCCACAACAAGACAAGAAGGTTGTCAGTAATCCTCTTGGTTTCAGGTATTGTGGCAAGACACGTGTGGGATTCCTAGCGAGCTCACAGCATATCAGCTTCTACTTCTCGGGCAGCTTCCTGACGTAAGCAGTTTGTAGAGATTCGGGCTCGGGGTGCAGGGTTTAAGCTTTTGGGGCGTTGGGTTTTGGTTTGGTGTTCGGGGTATTGAAAGAAAGAGCCGTGACAAACACGAAAGATACTGATCCGGACACAAGCACCAGCAAAAAGCGATTACTGATTACAGACCTAAACCCTAAACCCTAAACTCTAAACCTTAAACCCTAAACCCTTAACAAACTTTTACGAAATCTATAGCTGTCAGAGTTTTGCCCCGAATTGCGATACAAGCCCCTAATCATCACTCCCACTCAACACCCTAAGCGACCCGACCGTAAACCCTAGTTCTGCCACGGCTTCAGGCTCAGTGAGCAAACCATGCACCCTAAACCCTAAACCCCTAAACCCCTAAACCCTAAACCCTAAACCCTAAACCCTAAACCCTAAACCCTAAACCCTAAACCCTAAACCCTTCTGAGGCTCAGGCTTCCTTGCAGAACTCTCAGAGCTGGAGATCTCAACACCCTACCGTGGCCTCGCATAGCCTACCTGTCGTAAGTTCCCTCTAATCTCTACCTCTGGCCGGAAAGACCTACATGTTTAGGGTTCCTTGTTATGGTTTCTATCTATCTATCTATCTATCTATCTATCTGTATGTGTGTATATATATATATATGTGTAATTCCATTAAGGTAAGGCAGGTCTTTTGGGTTTCAGGTACTGACCAATTCCGACCCAAAACTACAGCTAAGGCTCTAAGGGTGCTTTTGGTGATGTCAACCGTGAGCACTTCTCACCGCTCCTTATCGTCCAAAGCGCAGAAGGACTTAACCCTAAACCTTAAACCCTAAACCCCTAAACCCCTAAACCCTAAACCCCTAAACCCTAAACCCTAAACCCCTAAACCCTGCCCTCAAACCGGAAGCATTCGGGTGACGGGGTTTCTGGCTTATCAAGCCTTGCCTAGGCTTTGATGCTTAGGGTTTGGCTCAAGGGACAGAAACCCTAAACCCCCAGAAAATCCTAAATCCCGAAACCGTATAGAGGAAACTCGAAGCAGAACTCCGAGCCCTCCAAGCCAGGGCACGCAAGCTTCTGCACGTACTCCATCGGATCTGTCTCTTCCTCAGCGGAAGCGCTTCGCAGGGTTAACCCTAAACCCTAAACCGTCTCAACCCGGAAGTCTGATATCACTGATATCCTTAATATGGGCAGTTTTCTAAACCAGGCTCCTTTTTAGGGTCATGAGAGAACTACCCATATCAAAACCCTCAAAAAGTACCCCTCTCTGCCTTTGGGCCATTGCAAGAGGTTTGGGGCTTAAGGGGTAGAGAGGAGGATGTCGTCTCCACGCACAATCGCATGCTGCCGGCTGCCAAGGCATGCATAGGTCCACGCCCCACTTTCGGNNCCCCCCCCCCCCCCCCCAAGTTCTGAAGAGAAGTCCCAAATCTCTCTGAAAGTTTCGCACAAA